ACGCCCAGAATTGCGTGAGATAATACGATCTGATTAATTTTTTTTTTTTGTTGCATTATTTATGATCGCCAGTGTAAATACTCAATTTTATTCACAAAATTATCTTGGAAAAAATGACATTAAAATAAGTAATAAGAGTTTTAAGAAATTTTAGTAGTAGAATATAGTTGATTAAAATATAACTACTTATTGTTATTAATATTTGTACCCGCACCGAGTGATGGTCCTCTTGATAATAATTTAATGAAATCACATAGTAATTATAAATTATAAATGGTTAATAATTTTAGTAACTTTTTAAAACTCAAGTCCAGTGCCTAAAGTTACATTTATTCCTGGTTTGGCTTGATTGCGTTACATAGCTATGTTATTATAATTATTATAATGATAGTATTACGGTATCGCATTATTACATTGCAAAGGTCTATCTGCTATAGTATTATGATATTACTATATTACGGCATTACGACATTACGGCATTACAGCATTGCACATAATATTTACGGCAATTGAGCTCTGTGCCGTAATTAATTCTACAATATTGTAGAATGCCGTAATTCAGTAATTCTACCGCCAACACTACTCCGGACAAATAATAATAATAATGATAAACCTTTATTAACACTAATACTATCACCAACTTAATATTAGCTTAAATTTTATTGCCAAAAATTTATATTACAAAAGTTAATATACGTATACAATAAAATATATAGTGTTGTATACAATAGGTGCATTTTATAATTTTTATTATAAATTCTAATTAATAGAATAGATATTTTTCTGTCTCGCTATATATTTTTTAGCCTTACAATAAAATTATTATTAATTTTATTATAGTTTAAAATTTGAATGCCAAGATGTTCTTGTTAAAAATTTTGTGAAATAGAATCGGAAATAGAAATTTTAAAAAATTAGAAATTAATATTTCAAAAAAAAAAAAATAGGCTTAATAAAAGATAAATAACAAAGTATCAAAATTTAAAGCGCATATTAAAATTTGAATGCGCAAACATTAAATTATGAAACAACGACTAAATAATTAAAGCACTATATCTCACTAATTATGATAACCCATGTGTAGAATATAAACATATATTTAAATAATCGGAATTGATTCAGAATATAGTTGAAAGTTGTATCCGTTAAAAAGAAGAAATTATATATTAGGAAATCTATATAGCGATGCAGTACTTCAAAGTTTGTATTTGTTGTACGTCAGATTAAAATTAGTGTTAAGTTTCGTATGTATATATCGATATTTTTTAATCAAAATATAATACGTAAAATAATATGAATTCAACTTCAGCCCAAATAAACAAATAAACATAAGTCAATGTGATTACCACTTTATTCCAATTAGAGCATATTATGATTATTGGCTCTCAAATCTGTTTCTTGTGAAACAAATTATCATATCGCAAATTAATAAAATAGAATAAAATCTAAATATACAGTATATTGTATGGTTTTTTATATAAGATTAAAGAATATTTATTCCTTCTATATACCTTAACAATTTTCTTAAAAACAATTTTCTCTTACATTTCACTAAGTCTCTCATTATAATATATATATATATACATTAGTCACGAATAACTACGTGTATCATGAATTCCAACGGTGACAATAATGATAATAACATTATTACTGCGCACGTGCAACCCTATGACATTAATGATGGAGTAAATTCTGAATGTAAGTCGGTTTTTGTCGTTTAGAATGTAGAAGAGTTTCTTTTCATGCAAAATGATACCAAAAATTTCGTTTCTGATTTAGTTTTAATAAAAATATCAAAAACGTAACTTTGGATTCTCTGTGTAACATATCAAATCATGTGATTTTTAAAATTTTTGCGAATATTTTTAGGTTTAATTACCCATGTGAATAATATGTCATTAGGAAACCGTGATCAACCGCCTTCTTACTATTCTTCTCAAACATCTTCGAGTAACAATCAGGGATATAATCCAAATTTCGCACCTAACAACAATAATGGATTTTCACCAAACTTCGCTCCTAATAACAACAATGGCCTTTCACCAAATTTTTCACCTAATAACAACAATGGCCTTTCACCAAACTTTGCAGCTAATAACAACAATGGCCTTTCACCAAACTTCGCTCCTAATAACAACAATGGCCTTTCACCAAACTTTGCAGCTAATAACAACAATGGCCTTTCACCAAACTTTGCAGCTAATAACAACAATGGTCTTTCACCAAACTTTGCATTTAATAATAATAATAATGGTTTTTATCAAGAGTATCCACACAGACCACAAATGTTACCACAGCAACAAAATTTTATGCCTATGCAGAATCAACAACAACAAGCTGCTGCTAACCAACCTAATTTTGAAATGTTTGCTAAATTCATGGAATTTTATAATGTCTAC